ATCCATAACACACACAGCTTTTCTGACATTATTTAGAACATTAGACAGATTATATAAACTTTAAAATATTAATAATAATTGGATTAATATTATTATTAATAGTTTTAATGATTTCTACATCGTCAGTCCTTTTTTTCTGCTCTGTTGTCAACATGTACAGTAATGAGAAATCCAGTCTTGCCCGTTTAGCGTTAKCCRTTAGCTTCTCCAGCCGATCACACGCTCACGTGATTTTTGCACACTCCRGTTCTATAGAACCTCCTTGATCGAACCTCACTTGCCTTAATGCTCGCACCAAGTTTAAATGATGTCACCTCAATAAACAATAAATCCTGCCGCTCTAGTTAGTTTGATAAACCAAGACATTTAACAATATTTAGACATTTGTTTTTAACATTTCTGAGGTGACCTRTACCAAGTGTGACTGATACGGGGATCCTTGATAATAAGTGGAGTGGGCAAACAATTTTTAAGTTTGTAGTGTCACACAGACATGTAAATCCCTTTTTTTTTTTATTTGTCATTTTTATGCACCAGCAATATTAATTGTCGGTTTCCCATRGAGAAACAGTTGCACGCCGAAAGAGTTACTGCAGTAACCATTTACCTGTTTATGTCCTGTCCAAAGGGGATCTTCCCATCCAGCCACATCCACTTGAAGAATGCGGCTGTGAAGAACAAAGGGTGAGTGCCGTTGCTGTTTTACAGTTTTAACATTTCAATATGGGGTTTAGGTTTAAATAAMAGTAATTCAATGTGATTTTATAGGCAATTTGAGACGGTGATGCCCGTGGAAGACTCTGTCATCACCGAGATGACGTCAACGCTGCGAGACTGGGGCGCCATGTGGAAACAGCTCTACGTGGTGGGAAAATCACGCAGTTTGCACCGATTTCAAATGTCGTTGCCGCTTCCACTTCTTTTATGTGCTTCATGCAGGGAGTTTATTTGGTGATTGAGAAACAGTCGAGGCGTTTTCCTACCCTTTCATTTGTTGAATTGATTGTGTTTGTGGTCTATTAAGCCATCTGGGGTGCTGATTAAATTGAACTGATGAATGCTCGCGGATCAAACCGCACACATTTGTGGCAAAAAACAGCAGGACACTGAAGCTAATTTGCTCAAATCAATTTTAGGACCTTTAATTTGCCTTTATTTATTTATTTTTTTGTTCTCTCTAGCTTGCCCTTTTCTTTTCAGTGTTGCACGTCTGTGATTTGTAATCTGTTCGTTTCCCTTTCCTTTACCACCTTCAACTCTTCTTTAATTCCCACCTCCTGCAGAAGAACGAGGGGGATCTGTTCCATCGGCTTTGGCACGTGATGAACGAAATCCTGGACCTGAGGAGGCAGGTGCTGGTCGGACACCTCACCCATGACCGCATGAGGGACGTCAAGCAACACATCACGGCCAGATTGGACTGGGGCAACGAGTGAGTGATGTAGGGCTGCATCTAACGATTATTTTAATAATCGATTAATCGGTTGATTTTTTTTGATTAATCGATTAATCGCCCAAATCATTAAAACACTTAATTACA